AAGTTTTTTTGTCTGTCTCGTACTTTTCAATAATCTCGTTATGATCAACATATATGTATGGATTTCTACCGTAGATGGTTCATTCTTCTGTTATACTCGCCATGAGCCAGTTGGTGTATGTGGGCAGATCATTCCATGGAACTATCCCTTAGCGATGCTAGCATGGAAGATTGCGCCGGCTTTGAGCTGTGGATGTACATGTGTACTAAAACCCGCAGAACAGACACCGTTGACGGCGATCTATGTGTGCAATCTCATCAAAGAGGTATGTTTTCTATGAAAAAAACAAATTTGTCACAGCTAGATTCGCCGCCTAGATAATAGGCTCGTGTGACAAGATGAATTTCAAGAAATATTCGTCCTAGTTTTTATAAAATTATAATATATGAAATGTGCAATGGCAAATCTTGACGTGTATGGTTTGGGAATTCATTAAACGATATCAATTGAGCATGAATTGCCGCAATCGGGAAACCAAACAGACAAGCATGGTCGTGTTATCTTTCGAGTGTTATATAGTTAGATATATATTTAGTTAGTTAGTTAGTTAGTTAGTTAGTTAGTTAGTTAGTTAGTTAGTTAGTTAGTTAGTTAGTTAGTTACAGCAGATGTCATTAAACATATAATTAAATTTCTTTGAATTTTGTATACAAAATATAAACATGATTGTTTTTATTTCAGGCTGGATTCCCACCTGGAGTTGTCAATGTTGTACCAGGGTATGGCCCCACTGCTGGTGCTGCGATCGCAGAACATATGGATGTTGACAAAGTGGCGTTTACCGGGTCCACTGAGGTAAGTATGAAACACAATTAATCTGTATACATGGCTTCATCAATTATTAATTATTGTATTGTTATATAATTTGTCAGAGCAATATTTAGCTCCATAGTCAGAGAAGCCTCGTTCGTAACGAGTCGTGCAATAATCACTATAATCATCATCCAAATATCACAGTATTTCATAAACAATATTAACCATAAATTTACATAATTATCAGAAAATAAATGTTGTGTACCAAAATATGACATTTCGAGTTTCTTCTACGAATAGTTGCGTATCTTATCTTCTTATACCGCAAGGTCGGAAAAATAGTCAAAGAAGCGTCTGCGAAGTCCAACTTAAAACGAGTCTCCTTGGAACTCGGAGGAAAAAGTCCCAATATCGTCTTTTCTGATGTTGATAGTAAGTAGAAGTTTAAATTATTGCTGAATGTTTTATACTAGTAATATTTGGAATTAATTGATAGTAAATTCCGTTACGTGGTAACAGGTAGGTTATTGGGTAAGACAATACAAAATATAAGTGGCACACTCGCGTAAATAGAGTACATAAAATACGTATTCGTTTTTATTTTCTATCGTATATACACATATGCAAGGATCGACTTTATTGTATACACAAAGATCTACTTCATGATTATCTCCATTTCCTTGTAGTGGAGTATGCTGTTGACAACGCACACAAGGCGATGTTTGGAAACATGGGGCAGGTGTGCTGTGCCGGGTCTCGTACATTTGTACAAGAAGATATATATGACGAGTTTGTCAAGCGGAGCGTGGAACGAGCCAAGAAGCGTGTCATCGGCGATCCATATGATGAAAACACTGAATCCGGTCCACAGGTGAAAGGAGTCTTTGTTGTAATACTATTACAATATCTATATGTGCCAAATTGTCAAATCTTTAATTATCGACAATAAAAAGACAAAATGGGGGCACTGGACAATCTTTCGAAAAACAAAGAGCCGAAATGTTATAAAAAAAATATCAAAACTGATATATATATAAATATCTACTAACACACAATAATGGAATATTTTTAACATTGATGTACTTTTTATGTCCCTAATGGTTATTTATTATTTCGTTTCTTTACTTTAGATTGACAGCACACAATGTGAGAAAATCCTTGAATTGATTGAAAGTGGCAAGAAGGAAGGTGCCAAACTTGAATGTGGAGGTGGTCGCCATGGTGATAAAGGATGTTTTATCGAGAGTACAGTTTTCTCTGACGTTAAGGATGACATGCGCATAGCAAAGGAAGAGGTACTATCGGTTTTGGGTCCGATAAACACATTTCTACTTTCATGATGATATTAACTATTTCGTTACAAGTGATACCATTTCTTAGATAACCTATCCCAGTATACATTTCATTTAATAGTATGATAGTTATGTTTAACATTTACACAATATTGTGAATTATGTATAATCTTGCCTATTCAACAGATTTTTGGTCCAGTTCAGCAAATCATGAAATTCAAAACCATTGAGGAGGTGATTGAGAGAGCCAATAATACCCATTATGGCTTAGCAGCGGGTGTCTTCACTAAAGACATTGATAAGGCATTAACAATCTCCAACGCATTGCAAGCCGGCACTGTATGGTAAATATTCTCAGAAATTAAATTCAGTAAATTGTTGCTGTGTAACGTTTTGTTTGAATGACGTTTCAATTCAATTAATTAACTTATTCAGGGTAAACTGCTGGGACGCAGTCAAACCTAACGCTCCATTCGGTGGCTTCAAAATGTCTGGAAATGGTCGAGAGTTGTAAGTATTGTATTTCTATTCTTGTACGTGTAAATGCAGTATTACCTCATGTTTTTGGTATAAATGTCCGTAAAAAGTGATTTTTATTTCAAATTAATGTATTTTTAATCTTCATTTTAATGTTTGATTAGCTGTTCAATGGTTGAGTTGTATACTTATTGTTACTTTAGTCTGTCTCAGTCCTCGTATCTGATATCAAAATTGTTGGTTTCTATGATGAATTTGTTGTATCTCGAAATGGAATGAAGGTTTCATAAATTTTATTGATGTGAATTCTAATATTGTTATCTTTATAAATAACTTCTTCTTTAATGCGTTTTCAGTGTGAATAATAGTTTTTTAATGTGTACTATGGCAAGTTATACGTACATTAATATGCTAAGTTGTTCTCTTATTTGTTTTATTGGGCAATCATGAATCTTAGCTGTATTGGATAAATAAATACAAATTAAAAGTAGTTTTTTTGTATAGGCAATAACGAGTATAAATGAATGTAACAAAAGTTACTACTTTTTGTTGTATTCTACACAGGGGTGAATATGGACTGGAAGAATACACAGAAATAAAAACTGTAGGTTCCTTATATTATAATTATTATTGTTCAACATAATAAATAATACATAAATCAAAAAAATTGTCTTATTAAGTTATTGTCCTACTCAAATATAAGGATATGATTTATAGATACTAGTATTAGGCTATAATATTAGAATTAATTTTATCCTTGTGTTATATTTATCCACATATTTACCCTTGAATAATGTACAATGTTTGTTATCAACAGGTTACTGTGAAACTACCACAGAAGAATTCCTAAATCACTGAGATAATTGCGCCACACTGTTTCTAAACAGTTTGCTTCATTAATTGTACTGCACTGTCTTTTATATTAACATTTCAGTAAATGTGACATCATCAAAACACACACTGTTGTTAGTAAAATAAAATATTCTATTCTTACTACATAATCTTGTGCTTTAATCTGTAACCGACATTGTGATGTTGAAACCAATGTCACATATCCTTGTTATCCGCAAGACTGTATGACATAATTCACATAGTTCTTCTACAACGTAATGGACTATGGGTAGTAACTCTGGTTATTGTTTTATGATATATTATTATGAATGGCACAATTATTATCAGCATCCATCTCAATCCATAATACTCAGATGTTTAGACCTTCAAGTCATGTTTTAGTTTTCAATTAATTCTCTCTCCCTCCAATTACGAAACTCTCGCGTTATAACTTGTGTTTGGTGAATTTACATTATTTCCGGTGTTTACTGTTCACACGATTTCTCATTGTACTATTAAAGTGTGGTGTTTACAGAGTTACTAAGTATTGCATTTACAAGATTCAATGTACACTGATTTTTGCAAGAATCCAGAGTCAAAATGTTATCTCTAAAAATAAAGATGAGTCAGTTATTCAGGTGGAAATATTAAAGGGTGGAGTCGTCACCTGCGCATGCGTCTAATGGGCATAACGTGTCATTGTTTACAAACAAGCGTCTAACCATAAGCCTTTGCATTTTTAGTGCGTGTTATCGTCGCTTGGAACTCAATTCCGACGCGTGCGCAGGTGACGACCCTCTCGCTTTAATTTGTATAACAATTCTGACAAAGATTGTATGGCAAAGACTTTGAAGGAAAAATTATGCAGGGGTAGAATATTGGAGTTTGGAATGGATTGTACTAGCATTGAATATAAACCTGTACAATATGTATTCATACGAGATATGTTTAAGTTCAATTGGCAAACATGTAAAAATGCATCACATACCGTAAATGGTGATTTGTTGATTTCAAAGGTTCTTTACAGAGGTAGGTGCATGTTTCACTGTGGGCAAGTATAAAACAGTTGATTTATCAGACTTCCTCGTGGTATTTGCAAGTTGCAGTCTCCATAGACTTGTGCTAGCAATTACTAAGAATATGTACATTATGTATTTCTGAGATATGTTCGTATCCATGGTTACGATTAATTCCCCTCAATATGCACATACACTTAATTATCTATCACACCTTAACTGTGAAAATATACCACATACAAGATTAGTTTCAGTGGTAGGTGTCTAATATAAAGTCAATGCGAAGCTACAAGGTTGTTCCTGATTGGTTACTCAACCCCACATCTAACAGCCAGACCAATCAGAGACCAGCTTATTTTTAGACTAGTTTTTCAACGTATCAAATCCAGTATGGTATATACTCAACTGAATTATAGGTCCCGTTTCAAATACTGAAGATAGAATATTTTACAGACTGTTTCCAATGAAAGTATCCATCAAGAGTGCAGTGGATATGAACACCACCAAATAAAGCATTTCACATTTGCTTTTGGTGACACAAGCACCCTAAACTCGCCAACAAGAGTGTCATCTAGTTTCAATAAATAGAAGCTAAAACAGAACTTTGTACACCAATATAGCTGTTTATGCAGATGGTCTTGGTTGATACTGGAAATGTACGTCTGGTATTCTGCACCATCAAATTGCTATTCACAAATTCACATGTGTAGTTAAGTTTACCAACAAGGGTATATAAGGAGGGGCTGACAACAATGCTGGGTGGTTTAGATGTTTTGTAATGACCTTGTATTACACAAATAAAACTACACATTAGACATGAAATATGTATATTTTATTACATCAATGTATACATAAAATTGTTTGAATACAAGTATCCATATTCTTTGCGGGGACACATAAAAATAAATATTGAAATTATATCTTTAATAGCCTGATTCTAGAACGTCAGATAGATGTTCAGATATGTATTGCGAGAAAAACTGTGCATTTTTATAGTAAAATTAATTTTTTTGTTTTTTAAAATAAAAACTAGCAGAAATTGATTTTATTTATACTAATTTCTTTCAGGGAAACCAACCACTTAAATTGCTAAATAAAATGGTAAGCAATTTTCTGCAGCTTTGAGTTTCAAATAAAGTACATTTGTTCATAAGATTACTCTAAATACAATTTTAAATCATTCACGAACTGGCTAACTGTTTTATGTGATTCCTGTGGGATATATAGTCAACTATATCTGAAAGAAGGCTACAGAAATTACAGATTTGTTTACTAAGATACTAAATAATTTGGGGGTAATTTTCAGGAAATTGAATATAGCTTGTCTGCTCAATTCAGCAGTAACCACATTCCAACTTCTGGGGTTGAGATGTTTTGTTTTTACTGTACAAACCAAGCATAGTGCATGATGGTTTACGCAGAATGGCAAAATAAGATGCATTGAACAGTGAGTTCAGCCATCATAAAAGCAGTCATATCTGCCATTTAATGTGTTGTGTATTTTCACCAAATAAAATTATACAAATGCAGTATTCAATGTTATTTTTATGTTTAAATGTGTCATCTCTATTCAAACTTATGTTGTATATTTTTACACGTTACTGGATCACATCAACTCATCAAAATGTATTGAACATTGATTCAATATATTAAACCCCAAAACATACCAGTAATGTGCAGATATAAATCTTACTACCTTCGTTTGGTTGAGAATTCAAAATGGAAACTATTTGCGCATATAAACTTTTTAGAGTTATAATTTTGTTTTATAACGAAAACAGTGAAAACGTTCAAAAAACGCACGAGTTTGTATTTGAGATACTGAAAATTGACTGAGAAAAACACTAGTATCAGCAACTACGACTTAGCTGAAAACCACAGAGAATGTACAAAACTCCAGTGAACATTGCTAAAGTCAAGAAGAAAATACAGACAAGTAATCAACCAGTTTGCACTTGCTGAGCACAAAGCAATGATTTCAATGTAATCTGAGAACTCTGATGAACAAGTCATGGTTTTTTTTGGCTGATGATAACAGCATCCTCTGATCAGAAACATAAATAATTTATGCAATGTAGGTGTCTTAATTTTTTTTAAACTCTATCAAAATCTAAATTCATGAACTTTTCTAAACATCCTTTTTCCTTGATATTATAAAGCTTTAAAAATAATACATTTCTTCATCCAAAAAAATTTTCATCATATGAAGGCCATTTTTCGTTTAATCTTCTATGTTTACATAATTTAACATTTAAAGGGAGGTAGTTGTTGCGCCACACATGTGCAACATTTTAACATTTTCTCATAATCCAATGCACTTTTCTAATGAAATCATGAGTAAGAGTTTTGCTCTGGGCGCCATGTCCAGCCAGTGACTTCTTCGATGCCTTCCAAACACCTAATCAAACCTCTCAGTTTGTACTAGTTGGTAAGTGCAACAGTCAACATCTTTATTTATAGGAGGCTCATATCTCGCGCATGGGCAGCGCACCGACTACCACCCTTTAATACTTTCGTTGGGACAACAAGGAAAACAAGACATATAAATGTTGTATATTAAACATGAAATTAATTAAATTAACTGACTACAATAACTTGTGTTTATGATCTCTATAAAATAAAGACGTAACTATAATTACTGCTCTTTATGTTCAGAAATAAAATCTGACTAAGTCACACAAGTTATGGATGTCAAAATAAAAACAGGTGAAGAAAAGATGTTATCAGCAACATTCATGTGCACTTAAAAACAATTTAAACACTTGCACTTGTAAGATACTAGCTTACTCTCAGGTTTGGATTGAAGCCCGAGATTCAGAATGCAGCTTAGAATTTAGATTCCGATTTCAGATTCCGAATCCAGTAGAAGATTCAGATTTTGAATTGAGCCTAAGATTCAGGATTCAGATTACAATCCAAGATTCAAATTGTGGCCTCACCAAAGTGTTGAACAAAGTAAATCAAACGAGACATGTGTCCTAGTGTTCGTTTCATTCTACATTAATGTATATCTTACGGACAGTCAGGAATTGTCGGAAAATACTGCTAGAGTACCGTCAGTAATTAGATTAGGAATCTGAGGAAAGCTTCACAAATGGGAAAGTATTTTCTTCAAGGCCTAATTTTGGTGATTAACACATCATCCACTGATGTCATATTTGGTGGAACTTTCAGCAGGCAATGTGTTGATTAATTAATGTTGTATTAGAAACAATATCTTACAAATCAATTATATATTTTATTGCTTGTATTCATCTGGGAATTGTATAATGTAGCTTCCTTCTCCTTGTATCCGTGGTAATGTTCCAGCATTGGGGATGACATTCCATGATAACGTCAATGTAACATTCTGATTTCCTCTGTGGAATAATATAGACATTTGTATCAGTAAAATTTCTCACTTTTGTTTCTTTGACAATTACAACTTAGGTTGGTACATATAATTTAATATCAGGCAAATTTTTAAATTTGTTTTCCAAAATTGATGTGCTTGATTTATTTTTAAAGTTTATGATTTTTTTTGATTAAAACCTTTTTTCTAAAATTCGGACTAAAACATGTGATGCAATCATTTTTTATTGGTGCACACAGTAAACAGAAACATGAATATTTTGTATTCCTGAATTACAAAACCAAAAGGGGAATTATTTTCATTGGATTTAATTTTTGTGGATTTATCTGTTTAGCAAAATAACATTCCAAGTGAAAATATAGTATCTGCATTTCTTATATAATTTTTATTACATTTTGTGCCACATATATTGTATGGGTAGCATATGGTTTGACATCTAAAGTGTTAATGCGATTATGGGCAATTTTACAAACCAAAGTGAAAACAATTTTTTTCTTAAAAATAATCTATCATGATGTAATTCAATTTTTATTTTTATTAAACTTCAAAATAAATTTCAATGCCACAGTGCTTTGTTTTCCTGCCTCTCTACCACAGTCATTATGCAGACTGCTACAGTACCATCCATTACCACTGTGTCATTGCTGACTTTTGAGATTAAATTGATAAGTTGGTGAAAACTTAAAACTTGTGTGTAATAAAAACAGTTTTGTAAGTCAATTTTGTGCATTGTATAATTGAGTATGTTATTTATCACAATTTCTTTAGATTGATCTGTCTAAACCTAATGTTCTACAGTACACAGTTAGGATTGACAGACGATTCATGCATCAAGTTTTGATTTCAATAATTTAGCTGATTCGTGATGAAATATCCTGGTTGAATTCATACCTAAGAATAGTCAAATTATATAATTATAGGAAAAAAAAAATATAAATTTTAACACTTACTTGAGACCATTGCCATCATCAAAGAAATAATACTTGGTGTTCATACTTTTAAAGTCTAGCTTGGTGGTCTCTCCTCTTCTAATAATTTTATCCCATAAAACAACTTGATTTAGCTTCTGTGGAATAAACCGAGTTAAACAGTAAAAGATGATTATCAACAGAAATAGAAAAAATAATAGTTTTTATCTCCCTAACATATGGTCATTTATTTGTATTCGCCATGTTGCTATTATAATATGTTACGAACAAAATGTTAGTCAAAAGAAAGGAAAGAAGTCATGTTGAATTCACAAGTTTTTTTATATTGTATACATAAACATACAACAATATTCTCTGTTATTATTATGGTAAACTAGAGCCTTAATACTTGTGCTCTCTCACACAAATACTTCACAACAGAAGAACCAAAAATTTAGTTAGCAATGTATGCAGAGTTTGTGGCCATTACATTTGTCAAATCTAAAAAAATAGTGTCAACTCTGTATTTTTTTATGTGTAAACTGGAAAGTAGCCACTAGAGGGCACTTAGTTACTGCTCCTTGCTGAAAACACAATTGTCAGTCATACATGTATATCTTATAAAAGTTTCATTTACATAATGCTTCTTTATAATATGTAATGGACCAACATGCCCAGCAGCATCTTGTTGACAACAATTGCAAAATAAAAACTAGACTAACATACCTTTGGATTCTGTGTTACAAAAATTGTACAATTTGATTTATTTGGCCTAAACACTTCAACTGAAATTTCTCAATATAGTTGTACTTACATTGCTTTTGGTTTCATACTCTGCAGTGAGGTACAAAAATAGCTGCTTTGTATTCCAGTTGAATAAAGAAGATAATTCTGTGTGAAGATCGAAAGCAATTTGCCCCAGATCATTTCTGTCTCGTGTAGATGCTGCAAAATTTGGGACATTCTTACTGTAACATAAGAAAGCAAGTTTAAGTTAGTTGGTAGTAGTCGCACATAACTACAGGTAAATGATGAAGTCATGAGAGAACTGTTGCATGTTACCAAGCCGACAGGCATTGGCAAGATTACAAGTTTCAACAGAATTGATCAATGCAACTTTGAGAAACTGACACATGCGTGTCTGTCTTAAATACGCCAGTCTGGGACATGTATAGAATTTGCCCGGTGTGACAAACAACATGAAAAATTCAATACAGGGCTACTTGCACAATTGCCAAATACCTGGTGAGTGATTATGCTCATTTATTGTAGAAATGCGATGCTTTACAAAATTATGTGGAATCAAACCAGTATTTCTGATTTCCCTCATAAATTCACAAGGCATAGTCATAATTTACACCTAAATTTACCAAGAGTTAAGAATTTTTCTTTAAAATTTTTCTGATCGCCCTTCTAAGTTTACTTAGAGATGTTTTGAGATGCATGTAGTTACGAACAAGGATATTTATAAGATAAGGATTTATAACCATGTTTATGTGATGTGTGATGAAGATCTCATGAGAAATGAAACAATCCTATTCCATGCATGTTAACTGAACATATTTCAACCAAAAGCATCACAGAACGCAGTGGGTGTTTGGAAATGTTTAATTGGGTAAATAGAAATTGGCGAAATTAACACAACGTTCAAACACGCAAAATGCATGTATTAAATGCTTTGCAATTAATCAAGGACAAATATTATGTAAGCATCAGTTATTCCACAGACTCTAGATTTCTAGAGATGTTGTACTGTATCCTGCGATTTTGTGATCATCTTGCAATCCATCTTTATTGCATATCACACTGTTGCATCTTTAAAAATCATTTTCAGGAATTAATACATCCAACTTGCTTGACAGAAGTCATTTTGTTCCAATACCTAGATTAGCTCAATGACATTCATTTTTTTGGCCAGGCCACAGTGCCACTATCCATTCTATATGATCATAGTGAGTGACTGTAGTTATAATAATATAATAATTGTTATTGCATCCTTAGAAATACGATCTTTCTATTAGTCTATAGCAATAAAGTATTAAAAGAAAATTTAGTTAGTTCATAATGAGATAAAAGCGATAGTAAATGAAAGTACCTAGTAGTGATTTTATAAAGAATTTTTATTTCTGATCTGTGGTTTGAAATCTTTTGTTCAGAAACACCGGTAAATTGAAACTAAGGCTGGTGAACCCACGTAAATAAAGAGGAAAGCAAGTAACAAAACATCCTATATTGGATAGTATCTAATATTCCGCCAAAAACAAGAGAAATTCTGCATATCAAAAGAAATAATAGTGTAAGCATATGGTTGGCTCGATAGTCGATTGGTAACAATTATTATGTCAACTTACACGACGGCTTTTGTAGTTCCTATGTCAACTGCAGTCTTGTTCTCTTTAAATGCCGTTGATAGAAAACAACCGAACGTTAAAGCAGCCATCACACTCAAAGTGAAAGCAAAAATTGTATTTAAACGCGACAAAAAGGTATTCATTTTGAAATAGCGTAAAGCAACGTGTATTTTGTCTTGTCTTCCGGATAGCGCTTGCGAAAGGTCGTCTACAGACGGCGCTGTTCAGTACCATGGGTCATTCGCAGGTTCCCGGCGTTCCTTGCGAATGCGCCATGACCAGCCAACGTGGGTCATTGAGGGAATCGCTCAACTTGAATACGCTCATTGATTTCATACATTTATGTAAACTCAGTCATACAGTAAGCCTTAATAATATAGTAGCTTAAATAAAAAAAAGTAGTCATTTTTCGTTGTAAATTTAACACTGCAAGTTGTTATGCAGATCTCAAATGCATTATGCAAAAAGCGCGCGCAGAACCAACCATTCTATTTTCGTCTGCCAACTTTCATCCAATCATCTCGCAAGAATTCCCTTCTTTGGCTCAACGGCTGGACGCGCAGCACCATTTTGCTAAAACCGTTTTTTAGGATTTGACGGGATATTTTTTGAAAACGAAGGAGACCCCTGATATAACCCCGGGATATAAAATTATCCCATATTCGTCACTATGAAGTCGCTCGTTTTTGTGGCATGTTTGGTCATGATGATATGCGTCAACTTCCAGACTGTTTGCGGGAGATCTGTGGCAAAAAAAGGACGTCCAGCAGAAAGTCACCGTGGCGCTCAGGAGGAAACGAAAAGAAGGGATGTATTCATCGAAGACTTGATACGCGGTCCGGGTCATGTTCATCATTCCTGTGAGATAGAACATGATGTAGGATCAGATGTGAGTAATTATATTAAACCTCACACGGTAGTAGAAATAAACATGAGGCTAGTGCTAGCCTAGTTAAAAAACATTAACACTTGATGTTGAACGCTGTACAGGTCTCCTGCGGTCTGTTTCTTACTAGTAAATATGGTACCGACAACTTAGGTAACGCTACACAAAAGTAAACATATTGTCCTTTTTTTGGCTTTTACATATTCGATTACCATGTTACAAGGATGTAAAAAATAGTTAGAAATATGGGGTGACCGTACTTGGTTCAGAGACGATCAATGTACAAAATAAAGTGAAAATAACATGTTTTCATCATTGTTTCTCATGGCAAGGATATATTTCCTATTTATTTTTATTCTCTGTGGCATATGATGAAAAAAGATATATAGTGTCTACAAAGAATGTCTAACACATTGAAAAATTGGCAATATATTTAAAGTGTTTTTAAAGAGGAAATATGTTTTCATTGTGGTTTATGGGAACCACTGTTAAAATGTCATTTTATGTTTATTATTTTACCCTTTTACTCCAAAAAAAAAAGACAGTGAACCAAAAATTTTTCCATACTAATGCTAAAAGAATTATTTGAACCAGAACAGCAACAACTTTGAGTGCTGGCACTGAGCCAGAGATACCAAAATGCTGCTTTGTAATATATTGAATATTATGAGGTTATCTTGAAAATAATGCGAAGTATGCACAAAATCAGTATAGTGATCGTATTGAACGGTATGTAGCAGAGGTCAAGGCACTCTGTTCCGCCTAAGTTCATATTTTGCAGAATTATCATGATAACCTATTATACATCTTTTTCCTGCTTGTAGTAATATTTTTAATGAGAGCTTATAGCGAAAATTGGCAACAAAAAATGTCTTAGGCAGTGGAAATAATGACAGAATATTTTTGTTATTGCATGCCATAGTGCTTTCGCGTTAAATGTAAACAAAGGATTGTGACATCACTCAAAAGATAATTGTTTCACTGCTGATTTTACTGAATTTTCTGAAGAAAAACAAATACAGACTTTATTTTTTGGAGGATAGAAAATATAATGTCTATTAATATTGATAAATTCAAGTGTTTTCTGTATGGTCATCATTTTCAAAAACTTTTGTAAGTCTCAAACTTATTGTTTTTATTAGATGTGTTTAAAAAAAAAAACATTTAAAAAAACTAAAGGAGTAAAAATATGTTCCATAATTTGCCCTTAAAAACTAAAACTTAAAGCCACATAGTTTTATACATAAAAACCACATATTAGCTTAATTTTGATTCAGAAGTTTTTCCATTTCCTGCTTTCCTTTTCCAAATTAACACTTGTTTATTAACACTTAAAAAATCCAGAGATGGCACTGAACTTATTGTAGTCTAGGATATGTGACACTCATCAATACATGTAGACTAAATTTGTTTAATCATGTTCTACAGTGTACACTACTAGGTGGTTCCCATTCCGTTTATGATGCTTGCTGTAGTACCACAAAAGCTTTGGCTTGTAAGAAGAATCAGCAAACACAAGAGTTACAATGTGTAGCAGTCAGGGGTATTCAGCATTTGTCTTCAACGTAAGTACTATATTATTATTATTTTTTACCACAAAGAGGCACTGCAGTTCATTCCTGTTAACCTGTCCAGGAGAAAACTGAATGTGAAGATGAATAGTCCCCCATGCAGTCACAAACATTGATTCTGGTTTTATTTGCAAAATGCAATTGCATGTATGGCTTCTGGCACTTGCAATTGCATACATAGTGAACAGTGGCATTCATTGTCTGAAACTTTCACAACTGGCACAAATGTTTATGAATTGTTCAAATTGTTGAATAGTACATATCTTTGATAAAATATTTATTTGTAGCCTTTAACAATGATCAATAACAAATAATCATTTTCTCTTCTAGCCGCCAGAACACCATCAGATATTTACTTCTGAAACAAAGAGAAAGTCTGAGAGGTCAGATACTGGCCAGGAACCGAGCCAGACAACAGGCTCTCAAGCAAATCTTTGAATCAATTTTGCTATGTGATTAATTTATCCATTATGTTGAATTTATATTGATTGTGGAATAAATAATTTGCACAAGCTACTGTCAGTCATCACTTATTTATACAATCTGGTGATTTTTTGTTTAGTTTTTGAAAGCTGATTTCACAACATTCTTTGCATGATTGTTCAATTGGACACTGTTCATATCTAAAGGTTGTTGTAGATATTAGTCTAAAAGAAAATTAGATGAGCTCAGCCAAATTTTTGTACTTAACTCCCATAGAACTATACAAGGTTATAAGGTACTACACCAAGTGTGATGAACATATTTGTATCTCTCCTGTTGAGAAATTTCTATGGCAGTTCTGTTCTGCAGCACCCTCTATAGTTGTCACAGCGTTTTTATGGTGGTAAATATACTACAGAGAAGCACAAATTGTAAACTGCCAACAAATGAGAAGGCAGCTTTTGAAGCATAAATATACAATTTTAATTGAACAGAAAGAAACTTCACTCACATAATCAGATTTGTTGATGTTAGTGCAGACAAGACAGGTTTCAATTGTTAGATAACTGGAGAATCCTTTGTGTGACCTAGCAGTACTTGCTCAAGGTGATGAGACCATCACTAAATCAGTATTCAAACAGCAGCAGAAGTTTATATTTATCTAATGTTTCATAGCACAAGTTTTGGTAATGCAGGGTAGTATTGTAATACATCAGTAACGCATTCAAAAAAAAGTCTGTTTCCAATTCAACAAGTCATTGTTAATAGCATACTGATAGTCACAGTTGAAATTGAGGGTAATGTTATTACCGGTAATGCCAAAAATATGGATCTAAAGCATAGTTAGTAATTGAGAGAGAATAAATGGCCGGTCTAGTATCAACAGAAATTGATGTATTAAATTACACTCCCATGATTGAAATATATGGTCAGAAATTAATCAGGATATGCTGTTTATGCATTTTTTGTATTCAAACTGATTTTCCTTTGTCTGGGCTCATGTACAGAGGTATAGTATGGTAAAAAGCAAGACTGCAGGCAGTCAACATCTTTGACCCGATTGTGAAACTATTAGTCATGGACATGTATCCTAACATGTATAATATGAAGAGAAAAAAATGTCAACAATACTTCTTGAAAAAACAAAATGGCTGCCAGTTGGTCATTTTAGATTCAAACAAGTCATGAATGACACTGCCTTCGCTAGTTGTCATTCTAAAGTTGCATGGACATAAATTGGCAAACATG